GTTCACATTCACTTTTCTTTACATCCCAACCTTGCAAAGTTAAGCGGTTGAGGAGAAAATTCTTCTGTGCTGTTGTGTTGTACGGTTACACTATCAGTCTCCTTTCAAAGCATGAAGAGGTCATCAAGAGCTTTGTCCAATCTGGTCATGTTCATTTGTGTCTATTTTGTGTTTAGCTACATGCTCTTATTATTTTTTATCATTACAGATTCATTTCTCCTCATTATCCCAGTTTCATTTCCAAAAAAGGCACCTCTCTCTAAAATGCAAACCTTCTGGATCAAGAAACGCCAGGATCCAAAATAAGAAAATAACACTCATTATCTGCTTTCGATTGTTTTTAGGAAAGCAAAGAGAAAGGAAAGTGCATCGTACGCCTCACAAGCCTTCAGAAGTTTTCACAGTAACATGTTAGGCAAAATCATTGCTTCTTTTCGTGCTTCTCATCTTGATCATACTTTTTGTCGTCGGCCGATCGTCGTCGTTCTTTGGCAGGTTGAGAAAGGCGGGCGGCATCGAGCTCCTGCCGTAACTCTTCATTCTGGTGCTCAACCATCTGCATTCTCCTCTCAAGCATTTGACTTCTCTCCAGAGTCTCTTCAAGCAGCTGTTGCGCCATCGAATAATCCCAATATCCCCCTTGCCCAACGCCGCCTTGAGATGTGGGTGCGCGGCGCGATGGCTGTGGGGGTTGGCGGGAAGCTGATGGGTTATACTCTTCTCGATGAGGTCGTGGGATATACTCTTCCCGGTGGGGTCGTGGATCATGCTGTTCTCCGTAGAAGCCTTGGGGAGACATTGATCCGCTGTCTTCGTAACGCTGAGGTTGTCTCGGAGTAGATCCTCGGTGTGGTGGTCTTGGAGCTGGACTTTGGGGTCCCGAGCTGTGATCACCATTTCGTCGGGGCGGAGGAAGTTCAGGAGGCGAACGGCCTCGTCCTCCGGGAAATCCCGAGCGAGGATTGTTTCCGGTGGGATAGGTATAATGTAGAGGGTTACCATATCCATAGCGGAATGAGGATGGTTCCTGATGTCTAAAACGTCTTGGTGGATCATCACGCGGTCCTGTATCGCGTGCTCCACGTCGAGGCTTTCGACTAGAACGATCGTGGCTATTCGAACGAGGGCTGAGGCCGTTACCATGTGGTGTCTCTTCTGGTTCATCATCTTCCTCTTCCTCTTCCTCATATCTGGAGTGACGTCGCGGTGGCGGTAGCATACCCGTTGGCCTTGTGCTTCCGCTTGCCAGATTGTCAGCTTTTTGAGCGGCGCGCCAAATCCGCTTCTTCTTCGGATCGATGAACGAACGGAAGACTTCCTCGAGGTCTATTGGATTGTTCTCGTTTCTTTGCTGATCGACTCTCTTCGGATAGAGGCGATCCTTGGGTAAGCGGCCACAAGATAAAACGTTTCGTCTAGAACCCGCTCCACACTTCAGGTCAAAAGAGAACCGAAGAGGCTCGATTGGTTCACCCGCATGCTGCTTCTTATCAGTCCTACAAGCGGCGTCCAAATCTTTCTTCATTGTATCCCAATCAATCTTTGACCAACCACCGACCTTTTTGAGTGCCGCCTTGACAAGTTTGGTCAATTCATCAGCCTCGGACTTCAAAAATATGTCCTTGGCCACACGCTTGCCCATATGCAGGTTGAGCTTCTCGTTTCTCCAACCACGGAAGCTTTTCTTGTGACGCGGATTGGCCCAATCATGTGGAGAGATATATCGAAGACTAACAGGTTCACCAAGAACTCGGTAGTGAGGGTTCATGGGATGAGGCATTTCGGTATTGTACTCGAACTCTTTCAGCGACTCATTAGGCTTGCCCACCTCAGGAGTCTCTCGGGAGTATGTAAAGTCATCGATGACTTCACCGTCACAATCGCTGGGCTAAGGATATGTCAGCTTATGTTCATAAAGGATGTCACTGTCGTTGCCTTACAGCATCTGGATCATAGACCAGAAACTCATCTCGATCCAAACTGTCTGGATTTGTCTCTGTCTCTGAGTGGTCTTCACCGTTGCTAGGATCGAGATCATTGTGGGACAGCTTGTCGTCCGAGTTACCTCCGCCAGACTCTGTTGGCTTCTTTCCCTCGGCTGTGCTAGTTGTCCTGGCTTTCTTCGGTGCTGGACGACTATCTTCCCTGAATGCCGGTCGCTTATCGCGGCGAGCTTTCGCCAGATGCCTGTCACGGCTACGAGGATCATTATCATCGACATCACTCTCATACTGAGGTTCGTCCTGCTCCTTGTCAATATATCTTCGCGGCAATGTATAGAAATGGAAATTAGTTTACCTGATAATCCATATTTGGCCCAAGGCCTCCCTCTGATCCTTCATCAGAGTTGTGCTGTGGGCTTGCATCTCCATCTCTGGTCGCGGGAGCATTAGGTGGACCCGGTGCCAATGGTCTGGTGCGTTGGCTCTGATTGCCTCTGTCTACAAGTCCGCGGAGTCAGTATTGCCTAATTGGGAAAGAAACCGGGGTTCGGGACGATAATCAATGTCTCAAGAATATCAAGATATCCAAACGCAAGAACGGATTAAATGAACGGATGAGAAGAAAAGGCCAAGGAGAATTACGTACTTGGAGCCGTGCTGAGCTGTTCAGTATCGGAGGGCATTGTTGCCGCGCCAGGAGCTGGAGGACCTTGCCGTCTTTCATGTACAGAAGTACTTAGGCTCTGGTGGATGCCCGGTGCCTGTAAATGTTCATTAGTATGTTTTCCGATCGCCAATCCATCTGGGGTTGTTTATAATTACAGTTGTAAAGAGCTCGGCGACAGAGAGAGTCACGTTCACTCCACGCTGATCCAGGAGCCTCGAAGCCGCCTGGTACTCCATTTCATGCTCAGCGCCGTTTGTTAGCACAGGCGCACTCGCAAGAGTAACAAGTTCGTTGGTCGCAGTGAGGATGGCTTCATCCCCTTCATGACGAGCAGCCACGAACCTCAAGCTGGCTTGAAGCAAGACGGTGTGTGAGCGATCCATCTGAACGACTCGCATGATGTTTTCAATTATGCGTTCCTGGAATCGGAAGAGCGAGGGTAGGTTGCCTATGGCTTGGATGTCTTCTGGTGTATCGACGGTCGTGAGCATGAAGCTCAGCTCGACCATGAGACGCCGCAGGTAGGGCACATCTTGCAACTGCTGACTGTGGTTGCCGTCTCTCAGGATATGGTTGTCGTATGGTGTTAAAGCTGCCATTTGATCGAATTAGATATGTTATTTTGAGTACTGGCAGTGCACTTTGCTTTATGATACGGGGCGGTCAAAATGTGTGAAAGGATTTGCTCAAGGATGAGGAAGGAAGGATGTGGATAGTTACGAGAAAACAACCAAAGTATTTGTGTGCAGACTCAAGCGCGCTATCACGGAATAAACGGGATCCGACACGCAGGACCTGTCCTGCCCCGACGAATCCAGAGAGCTGTTCTCGGTGAGCGGTTTGGATTCAATGACGGGGTGCGGTATTTTCCGGGTTTCAGTTTTCTGGAACAGATTCAATGGGTGCCTGCGATGGGCTGTCGGAAATACCATTTAGAGGTCGGATACTGTGTTTATAAGCGGGTTTTATATGCGTATGCACATGCCCGTGAATAGCATTCTTTTGTTCCATTCTCTGGGAATGGATGGAATATTGTTACATTGATAGATAGTTTATGATCCGAGAGCCGGATAACTATATATCCTAAGACTGCTTCACAGTTCTATTCAAAAGGGGAAGTAGAGCCATGATATATACATGGAATCAAACTATATAACACACCGACTTTGTTTATATGATTAACCTCCTACGCTAAATGGTTCATGAACAACTCAACGACGCATATTGGCGAGTTGGCGAAGTAGTACGTATCATGACAGAAAGGTACCTACCTACGTAGGTTCCAAACAGATATGCTACGTATTTGCAAACCTTTATTGACTTCCTGATAAAACCAGGTACTTGCCAGGGAAACGGCAAACATACACTTTGAACTTAGGAAGTTTAATAATAGCAAATAGCTAAAACTTCTATTGTACAATGACAAAATTTGCATGCTTTCTCGGCTTTCTTACTAATCCCAGCCTCAAACCCTCTCCTGACACTTCAAAACTTCACGCTATTCAAAGTATGCAAACCTTCAGCATTCAACAGAATCCGTTAATCCATGCCAAAAACACCGCGGTAATCATCTGATCTCCAATCCTCGCCCACCTTATCAATTCATGTTTTGATGAGCAAGAAAGTCACCCATCCATGTCCCGCTAATGCCGATGGTGGTATAACACTTTCCGCTGGCGACAAAAGGATATTCACAACGTTTTTATTTATGCCCCCCGAAGTTATACACACACGCAGTTACAAAACAATCATACGACGTTGAGATATAAACACTTTACTTCTCTGCATCATATCACGAGTAAGCTCGGCTGAAAAGGGGCTACTGCCGTCGACCCCTGAAAGAAATCCCGTTACTTAACAGCAGATCCACCCCCGACAATTGTCAATTATAGGTACTCATCCCGAATTGCTCATTGTCATCTAATAATCTCTGCTGCGCGAATGAAATTGATAGTGGAAGATTTCAGTACTGAAAAGCTGGGTCGTAATATGTCACGGCAGAGAACTGCAATCTAAAGCAAGCACGAGCCTGAAATTTCCGCAAGAGAAAACGGAGTAATGAGCTAGTAAGCTTATAAAGTTTACAGTTTGCCCTGCTTGCAAGAGCTTTAATTTTATGCTTCATTCCATATCTAGGCGCTATAGATGCTCACAAGCGTGATTAAGTGCTCCAGTTCATCATGTACTTACTGTATGATGTATTTCGATCCTATATTTTTGCAAAACCAGCCAAGCCAAACAGTCCAGCCCTATAATAGCACCAGCACCAGCACCAGCACCAGCACCCTAAAGAATCCGCTTTTATCTATTTTGTACATACCACGCGAGAAAATGCAAAATGCAAAGTCCATATCTCGCCCTTTTTATGCAATCAACCAGAATGGAAGGATTTACCATGTCGTCTGTAAGTGAGGAAACTCCTTGGAGCTGAGACCCAAGTCCGCAAAGACAGGATCATCTTCTTTAAGGTTCTCAACACGGTCGTGATCCTGTATCGTTTGATTAGCTTGGGAGCTCAAGAAGCAGTTGGGTTAATTAGTTAAACCATACCTCTTCCTCCAATTTCTCCATCTCCTCCGCCGGTGTCTCTTTCTCCCCATCCCTCTGATCCTTACTCATCTCATCGACACTCTTTCCCAATCCCCCCATCGCCTCCCCGATAAGCAATACCTGTGTGCCCTCATACCCAAGCACCTCTGGAACCAGCGGCATCCATCTCAAGCCCCTAAACTTCTTCTGTAGATCCTCGGGATACTTGGCCGGATTATCAAGTCCGGCGTTACCGGGCGAAGGAGTCTCTGGGTTTTTAGCCGAGACGACAAAACTGCCTTGCTCGTGGAGGCCGAGTTCCTTTTGGATCTCGCCGATGGAGGACGGGACCGTGAGGTGGTACGCGAGATGGGATTCACGGCCTGTGGACGTGATGGCGTAGATGCCTTCTGCAAAGGGAGTAGCGGGTTCGGTTGTACTCGTACTGTTTGCTATCAGTCTCAAAATCCTCTCAAAATAGTAGGGGAGGAAAAACTTACCCAACAGTCTTAGTAGCATACTCACTTCCTTGAAAGCCCTCTCTCAACTCCTTAATAGATGCCTCACCCTTCTCCACGAATACCAAAAATCTATCCCGTTTGCTCTTTGGCAGCATCTTCTTCGGTAGCGCCAACAGTCTCGCATTTCCCGAATCTTCAAGTGGGCCATCGCCGAGCTTGGCGCCGAGGGGCAGAGGGCGGAGGACGATGAAAGAGCGTGCTATGTCTTCGATTCCTTGGGGATCGGTCGTATTAACACGGGGACGGAAGAAGAAGTAGATGATTCCCTTCTCAAGGATTGAGGATGGGATTGCGGATGAGCGGGCTTTGTCTTCAACCACAGAGGTATTGTTTTGGTGAATGTCTTCGGTTTTCTTTTCCTGTTCTTCATGCGCCGCCTCTTTGACGTCGCTGGGAGAGGATTTGACTTCGTCAAAAGCGTTCTTCTCTTCTGGTCTCTCGGTGGCATGCTCATTCTTCTTTTCCGAGTCAGACTTCTCAATTTCGTCTTTTCCATTGACCTTATCATCCTCGGTGGCATCCTCATTCTTCTTTTCCGAGTCAGACTTCTCACTCTCTTCTTTTCCATTGACCTTATCATCCTCGGCCGCATCCCCATTCTTCACATCCTCACCCTTGTTTTCTTGAATCTTGCCATTAATCTCCTCGGCAATAGTCTTGTCATCCTCAACACCATCGGTATTGACATTAGCCATGATTTCATCCTTGCTCTCCTGATCCTTGCTATCACCCATCCCCGCATCCTTGCCCTCATCACCATTCATAGTCTCCTCAATAGTCTTCTGCTCCTTCAGCTTCTTCGTAGGCCGACCCCGCTTTGCCTTTGGTGCTTCACCATCAACGCCAGCGGAAGAAGCAGTGCGCTTCTTGGTGGCTTTTGGCGTGGCGCTAGGTGTGGCATTGGCTGGTGAAGAGGAGCCTTGGGAGGAGCGTGTTTTGGCCATACTGTCTGCGTGATTTGTGAGTAATGGATGTGTAGATGTGAAGATGTGAATATGTGAAGATGAGAGTAAGTGTAAAGTGGTAGAAGTTAAAGCTGGAGAGATGGGGAAATAAAAGGTTGGGAATTGAACTAGACAGAGAATGCTAGAGTGAATATTTGGTATGTGAGAAGACAGATTCACTCAAAGTCTTCTTTGCTTCAAATGGAATGAGGATGTTAAACTGCTGACCTTGTTGTTTGCTGGAAACTAGAGAGATGTACCGTAGATCTAAGTTGATAGATGAAGTAAGTCCAAGACAAAAGTAGAATGTAAACTGTTATGCAAAACCCAACTACGTTTGTTGTAGTAGTAAGAGCAAAGAAACGAAACGAAGGGAAAGTCAGAGTCTGACGTTGAATCTAAAGTCTAAAGTCTAACGTCGCGTCTCCCAATTTGCATCACGCGTTTTCCAAGACGTCATTAATTTATAACTGCTCACGTGGCTATATCCCCTCTATAACATCACATGATCACATCGTACTTACTATGTACCCAGATATTTACTTCTGCTTGACTGCTTGACTGCTTGAATACCCTTTACTCACATTCTTACCCTCTTACCCTCCTTTTCCTGCTATCAAAATACCACCCCCCTCCGAATTCAAATAACCCTAAACATGTTCTCCCTAACTCCCCTCTTCAACCCCACCGCCTTCCCCCCCTCATATTCCACCCCAGCTCCCCCTCCCTCCCCCGAAATCCCATCTAACTTCGCTCTCATCTCCTCGTCAAGCTCAGCCATACTTTTCTTCTTCTTGCTGCCTCCTATACTTTTTTTTTCTTCTTCTTTCGCCACCTTCATATCCACATTTACATCGGAATCAGGATTGGCGGTAGTCCTGGCTGCGCTTTCAGAGGTTTTGGTTGATGATGCTGATGATGATGTTTGAGAGGGAGCGGATGGTTGGGGATGTTTCTAGAATAGGAAGTTAGTGATTGTTTATTCATATATGTGTATACTGTAAGGTGGATTGATTTACTTTAACATCATTGATATCTCTTGCACCCGGAGAAGTCCTTGTATTGGCAAACCCCCTTTCCTGATTCGCCACTGGGAGGACTGAGATTTTGGGGATAAAACGCCGTGTAGAGTTTCGAATCATGATTTGGGTTGATTCTTGAATATGGAATAGGTAGGAATTGGAATTGATTGGCAAGGTAGGTACGGTACGGTACGGTACGTACCGACATAGGTAAGTTACATCATTATGTTAAGATTCAAGACAGGAACAAAAGTCACGGGATTAAAAATTTATGGCTGATTATTATTGCTATTGCTATTATTATTGCTTTCCCCTATCCTATCTGGATATTTTCTAGTCTTGGGTATATTTTTTTCGGTATGTATGCCGTTTTACCCCCCTAAAAATGCAGAAGAAGTTCGCTTGAATACCGTTCACCTCCTTATTAACCTCCCCCTACCCAAAAGCTGGTAGCCAGCCATACCTCCATATTTTCCAGTTGCTCCTCATAAATAGTCTCAAAACAAATAAATGAATCAATCCCTCAATCCTCCATATCCCCCACCCCCCGAACTCCCGCCCCCCGAATCTCTAAACCCATACCCCTCCACAAACCCCCC